AAATGTGCTTGTGCGAATGGGTGTGAATGGGTGAATGCACAAGTTGTGTAAAGCGCTTTGAGTGCTCAGATGAGTAGAAAAGCGCTATATAAGAACCAGTCCATTTACCATTTACCATATTGATATCAGATAAGCAATCAGCTGATGTGGACTGGCATTGAGATCAGCTGATTGTGGCTATAATATAATAATAATAGTATAATTGTTGCATAATTGTGCCCGATTGTGCTCACTATATATGGTTTCCGTTTAAAGCATAAAAGGACTAAAGTGGTGTCCAGTTAAACAGAGGTTTATACATCGCTGTATTTTATTTATGTGTATGTTAAGGATTTTGTTCTTTCTTTTGGCCATGGTTTTTGTTGTTGTCACCATGTTCCCTACCTGAATAGATTGATTTACTGATCAACTGACTGATGATTTACTGAACTGACTGCAGTTCATTCTGTAAAAAACCCACAGTCTGTGATTTTTCTGCTTTATGTGTAAAGCCTTTCTCTCATGCATAATGTTTCCATACTTTCGGCTACTTGGTATCTGTGTTCCACAAAAACAAACTCCTAGAAAGTTTTGAACCAAAGTTAAAGAGATTTTCCAGATATGAAAATAAACTTCAAAGCTAGTGCACCAATCACACATTTTTAATACACGTTATAAACACACAGCCGTAAAATCAACCTGTGACGTGGCAGTGTTTGCTTTGTGTCATTATACCATACTGAAGCTGTTTAGTGTGCTGTAAAACTATTGGATAATTTATTTTATGCAACTCTGTCTCACGTTGCTGGGATGTTGCAGACATTTTCAGCAAACTTTTTCATATTAATCAAATCAAAACTAAAACTTTCCTTATAGAGTTGAATATCCTCACTGTGAGCGAGTTATCAGGCACGCAGGTGTTGATCCAGCAGCCATTTAAGTTACAGCCATTGGTGTTGCTGTCCTTGCATGCCCTTCCCCTCATATTAATAATAATAATAATAATAATAATAATAATAATAATAATAATAATAATAATAATAATAATAATAATAATAATAATAATATTAATAAAACTTTTATCTATAATGCACTTTCAAATAAATTGCTATTTGAAGGTAAAAATGGTAAATAAATAAAAACAATACAGTTAAAAACAGATAAAACAAAAGAGAACAGCAATAAGAACCAGTAAAAACTTTAGGCATAAGATTAAGACCAGCAGGATAGAGTGAACAAGCTGGTCTTTAACTTAGCTTAAGTTAAAGATGGGGCACGAAAAGAAAAAGCACGCTGCCCAGTAGTTCTTCTTCTGGCTTTGGGAACTATTGGAAGGCCAGGGGCCTGAGATTGGAGAGGATGGGATGGAGCACAGAGGTGCAAAAGGTCAGAGAGACATGAAGGCGCCAGACCATTTAAAGCCCATTATAAAACAGACAAATCAGTGAAGATGAAGTTTTAATGCCACAGAGCAGTGCATCGCAAGTTTATGGGTTTGATTTGATGTCTTTGAACCCTCAGGCGTGGAAGTCATGCCAGTTCATTTCTGCGTTTTGTTTTTTTGTTTTGCCTTGCGGCAGATCTCGGAGATCCATGTGACGGGAGAGTCCGAGGACATGACAGCCAAGGAGAGACTGCTGCTCTGGTCCAAGCAGACGACAGAGGGCTACGTAGGTGTGCGATGTGAAAATTTCACAACCTCGTGGAGGGATGGGAGGCTATTTAATGCCCTTATTCACAAATACAGGTACTATAACAAACACACACACAACACAGCATGTTTTTGCAGAACAATAGTGCTTTTGGTTTTCTTTAGATTTATTCAAAAAATGCTGCTAATATGGACATCACTGCTTGAGTTTATTTTTATACCTTTAGTTGCCCTATCCTTACAGTAATACACCGTGTGTACCTTACCTCTACCTACCTCTGCCTCTTTCTATTACAGACCGGACCTTGTGGACATGAGCCGTGTGTCAACACAGACCAACCGATCAAATTTAGAAGACGCATTTTGTGTAGCTGAACAGCTGGGGGTGGCCAGACTACTGGATCCTGAGGGTAAGAGTCACATACAGAGTCATACAAATCATGAAAAATAACTCTCAGAGTGCAGCTTGCTCTTGTTTGCTGTCATTCGTGACCCCTGGGTTTGTACGTTTCTCATCAGATGTTGACGTCCAGTCTCCTGATGAAAAATCAGTCATCACCTACGTCTCAACACTGTACGATGCCTTCCCCAAAGTACCCGATGGAGTTGAAGGAGTTAGTCCTAATGTAAGTTAAGCGACTTCAACAAGTCCAAGTTAGAAAGTTAAGAAATCCCTTATTTCCCATGATTCTTCTTCTCTCATAAACAGGACGTTGATATCAAATGGGTGGAGTACCAGAACATGATCAAATACCTCAGCCAGTGGATCAAACACAATGTGGCCATAATGTCAAGTAGATCATTCCCCAATAACCCTGTAGAACTCAAGGTATGGTACCACAACAAGATGAGCTCCAGTTATCCCATTTTACACTGTGTTTGGAATGTAGGCATATCTGTATGTCTGAAAGGTAAAGGATAATTGCAATTTAATGCATGACTTAAAGCGATGCTAATGACGTGAGAGGGCAGCTGCATCCGTTTGCATGCAGGGGTACAGAAAAGTGATCGGACACTTTTAAATAAGTTGTTTTTTATGTAATCTCCTCTGTATTTTACAGGCACTTTATACTCAATATCTTCAATTCAAAGAACATGAAATCCCACAAAAAGAAAATGAGAAAACAAAAATCAAAAATCTCTACAAAATGCTTGAGGTACACATGTGCACGATTAGATTACACATTTCTTGCATTTATGGTCTTACACACTGCAGCGATAATAAGTGTGCCGGCGTTGTCCCTGACAGATGTGGATCGAGTTTGGACGTCTTCAGTTACCCCCGGGTCATCATCCGAATGATGTGGAGAAGGAATGGGGTAAACTAATTGTCACTATGCTGGAAAGAGAGAAGAGCCTGAGGCCAGAGGTGGAAAGGTACGTGTGCACTTTTTCTGCCCAGGCTCATCCTAATGTGATTTAAGGTCTCATCTTTATAGTCTCTACAAACTAATTTATTTATGACTTTATGGTTTTAATGGGCAGCAGAAATGAACTCTGCTAATGTGTAGGCGCATAAGTCAATGTATTGGGTATTTAATATGACAAACTGTGTGTGTGTTGGAGGTCACACGCAGAAATCAAACCATCACTGATGAGCTGCTTTTCTTTAAAAAAAAAAAGGATAAACATAAAGACACATGCTAAGTGAGTCTGCAAAATATTTTCTGAGGGTTGCGTGAGGAGAGTGCTTCGGTGTCGTATTGCAAGCCTGCTAATGGCTTTAATGAAACCAGACACCGATGGTCAGTGTAGCATGTCGGAGAGTGATTTGCCTCATTAAAGCAGAAATCCCCCAACTGATCTAAGATCTCGTTTACATGACATATTTCAGCTCAGGTTTACAGCCAAAGTGCATGCTACGCATATGATGAGGATGGGTTACATTCTGCTTGAATAATGAAGTGCAAAGTCAGCAGCAAAAAAACAAATCTCGATTATCTTGATTCATGGATTACTTTAAAACTGCTCATTCAGTCCTGTGTGGCAAAAATTTGCAAATGCAATCAACATAAGTTTGTATGTTTATGTCAAAGTGTGAACCGACGCAGCGATTTCCTTTGGCGAAGGCTTTCAAGTATTTGAACCCCATCTGTTGTTTGCTTTAAAGTGTAGCTGGTATTTCTATGGAAACTCACACATCACCTTCCCAAATTCCCTATGAATGATGGTCGTTTAGACAAGTTTACATATCAATTCCTTCCTCCATGGTCTATAAACACATCATATTTACTGCATTATTTCGGGGTGTGGTGAAAACTGGCAGAAACAGCAATTACAGCAGTTTGGCTGTCCTCCAAACAGACTCAGTTCTGACAACGCTGGACTGTCTCAACCTGCCGTTTCATTTTTATTCCCCGAGGGAGGCATAGTATTTCAGGGTGGGAGTTTGTACACGCTCCTCACCTGGCTGTGACACTATAAATATGAGCAAGTTGAAAACAGCTCCCTCAGTTAGGTCTGCGGATGCTTTCATCCAGCTGTCGAGGTTGGAGCCCGAGATTGTTTCGGGGGATGGTTAGGATGAAAAACAGTGATTTTGTCTGCAGTAGCAGTTTTGCATTGTAAAGTAAGATGGCTTATTTAAGCGGGAGCAACAGTAGTTTCACCAGCTACGGCTCTGGTGACACCGTCTACTCTGAGCCTTTACAGATTAACAGCTCAGTGTTTCTCAATAACAACATTGCCTATGGATCCAGGTGAGCGCACTGTGTGACAACTTGAATTTTTTTTAGGGGGGGGGGGTTAGACATTTTGACTTTAAACGAGTGAAAACAAGTAAAATAACTTTTCATCTTTGTTTTTTTAGGCTTGAAATGTTGCAGCAGATTGCCAACAGGGTTCAGCGGGACTGTGTTAACGGCGAGGACAAGCTTGCACTGGCGAGGACGGCCCTGCAGTCTGTAAGCATGCACTCTCAGTTTAATACTCCAGCAAGCTGTGATAAAATAGCAATGAGTTAGAAGTCCTTTCTTTTTCTTTTCAAAGGATGCAAAACGTCTTGAGTCTGGTATTCAGTTCCTAAATGAAGCTGAGATCGCTGGCTACCTGTTGGAGTGTGAGAATATTCTCAGACAACAAGTAGTGGATATCCAGATTCTCCTGGATGGAAAATTCCCATTTGCAGATCAGCTTGTTCAAAGGTAAAAAGTACATCTTTCTGTATAAATAAAACACTGAAATTTCCTCATGTTGTTAAAAAAATATATCTCACATTGTCATCTGCTTCTATAAAGGGTGTCAAAACTCCGCGATGATCTTCTAGCCCTGAGAGCCGAATGCTCCTCTGTGTACAGCAAAGGCCGCACCCTGACAACAGAGCAAACCAAAATGATGATCTCAGGCATCACACAGAGTCTGAACTCTGGCTTCTCCCAGAGCATTAACACTAACCTGACACCAGCCCTTACTCCTGCACTCACCCCAGGGGGAATAGGTACCCCTGGGTCCACCTTCACCTCCAGCCTTACGCCGTGCCTCACCCCGTCCTTGACTCCTGCCTTGACCCCGAGTCTGCAGCCTGCATCAGTCCAGAGCTACTTGGGGAGCATTGACATGGGCATGGACCCAGGTAGCCTCAGGCATTTGAAAAACATGCAGATCCGGAAGCCCTTACTGAAATCCTCACTGGCAGACCCCAGCTTGACAGAAGAGGAGGTCAACATGAAGTTTGTTCAGGACCTTCTAAACTGGGTAGAAGAGATGCAGGTGAGCATCTCTGATTTATAACTTGGTGTGGGTTTATTTTAAGGCACTTAAAATGAGATGCTGAGTATTTGTGTTGAGTTTTTTTTTCTGTTGTTAAGATGGAGCTGGAGCGTTCAGAGTGGGGATCTGATATGCCAAGTGTGAAAATGAATTTAGATAACCACAAAAATGTACACAGAGTGATCGAAGAATTCCAAATGAGTCTTAAAGAAGCCAAAATAAGTGAAGTAAGTATTTCTTGCA